AGTTGTAGATATGTATTTTAAAAATTCATTAGTTCATAAACTTCTGATTCATTATCATTATCCTTGGTTTGTGAAATACCATACATACATTTGGAATTAAATTTATTTAACATTTCTTTTGAAGGCGTAAATGACTGACAGCAATTGTCATTAATGTTAAAGTATATATTTACTCCTAGTAAAGATTCTAATAGTTCGTATTGTATTCTGCTGCGAAGTTTTGTTTTTGTCAATGACATAATTGAAAATACGCGTTCGATGCATGCATTGCTTGTTGGGATGCTAAGCATATTCAGAACTGCTTGTGCCAATTCCTTATAATAATATGTACCAGACGCGTCCTGACAACTGTATACTGTAGGCCAAAATTCTAACAGGTTTGTAGGCATTTTGTCTTGAAAAAGTGCGTTCCAATCGGAATTGGAATTTTTTTACCCATAAAATTTTGCAATACATCTTTTAGTAAACTGCTGGAATTGCTTAAAGATTATCATATATGTAGGAAAACGTTTTATCATTTCCTTTATTAAATTAATAAAATACTGAAAACAGGTTTCTTTTAACATTGTTTTTTTTTTTTTTTTGACAATTTCCAATTTACTATTTATTAATTCACTTTCGAAATCAGAACCAAAATCTACTGCACTTATCGGAAGTAACATAGTTTCTTCAATAATTAAATCATCGCTTATTTCTTCCATATTTTTTAAGCAGTTCATAGCTGCTGGTGTAAAAACCTTAGCGCAAGTCGAAATAAAAGTTTGATACACTTTGTCATATATGCGCTTTATGTATTCCCAGCTTAAGGCTGGAAATACATAAAGAGCATATTTGGTTGGCTTAAGTCATCGGCTGGCTTCTTCGTAGATGAACAAAGGTGTTTTAGGATGACTTAGTTCGATTTTGGCCATAGGCTCCTTTGTTCATTTCCGAAGAAGCCAGCCGATGACTTAAGTCAGCCAGATAAGCCCTTTTTGTATTCCCACCTTAAATGTGTTTTAAATTCATTATCCCTAAAATATCCCCAAAAAAATTTTATAAATCCCCAGTAAAATCCCCATCCCTAATCACATTTTTTTGTCCTTTTTAGGCACTCTAAATCCCCAAGATTGGGGACAAATCCCCAAATCTGGGAACCCTGTCTAGAACAGGGATGCTCAAAACTAAAAATGAATGTGTATTGGTGCGAGAGAGTGGACGTCCACTCAAAGAAATTTTAGTTAGCATTCATGAGTTGTTGGCGGCAACTAATGCATAATGATATTATTATTATTATTATTACAGCCCCTAGCATATTATTGGGGGAAATGTTTTGTTTTGTATAAATACAAATATATCATTTTAATTTCAAGTGAACTAAAAAACATAAATAAAAAATTAAATTAAATGTAAATAAACAATTCACTGTATGAAAATTGTTAAAACGTTTTTTCATAAACGTTTTACCATATAAAATGCATTGAATATTGCTAAAAGCATTTTTAACCATAAATATGATTTTAGCATTCTGGCATGTAGTTAAGCTGAAATGAAAAATGAAACATGCTGTCGAACGTGACCCCAAGAATCTTGGGGTAGTTCGTGGTCGGTATTAGATTCCCCTCGACCTGAACATTCAGCTGTGTTCTCATCCCGCAGACCATGTGGTAAAGAGTGTGGCCGTTGATTTCGTGGCGGATATTTTCATATTCCTCGCGTGGAAGTATGCGGCAAGCTCCGTGAGATAGGGGTTCAACGTTTCGCGTATGTCATCGACCACTGGACCCGACGCCATGATCGTACAATCATCCGCATACGTTACAATCTCAATGTCGTCTGGAGGGCGAGGAATTCCGGAAAGGTAGAGGTTAAAAAGTTCCAGAGATATCACCCCACCTTGGGGAACTCCCTGTTTCACTCTACGGGCTTTGGACTTCTTGTTCCGGAATTCCACGTACGACTGGCGTCCACACATATAGTTGATTATCCAACGAGGAGTAAATCTCAAGAGTCTTTGCTACTGGATACAAAAGCGAAATCGGCTGTACGATTCGCCTTTACTGGCATCCTTGCCTGGCTTCAGTAGCGGGACCACCCGGCCCATTTTCCAGGTTTCGGGCACTATGTGGGTGGCTAGCGACAAATTGAGAACTTTCGTTAAGTACTCGACTCCCGGCGTATCCAGCTGCTTCAACATTACCATTGAGATTCCGTCCGGGCCCAACGCTTTGGATGACTTAGCGTTACGGATGATATTTGCAACATCACCCATCGTAAACTGTGGTGGTTCCTCCTCGGTGGGAAGAGATCTGATACGACGCAGTACTCTTCGCTTCGCCCTATCGCTCTCGGGGTGATCGACAAATTGTCGGTTAAAATATTCCGCGCACCTCTTCGGATCAGTCACCGTTACGTCGTTAAAAGTGACTGAGGTCCTATCATCCTTTTTTCCAGGGTTCGAGAGCGACGTAACTGTTACCCACAGCTTACTCATATCGGTTCCAATGTTGCAGCACTTCAGATGGTCTAGCCACTTTTTCCTCTTATGCTCCTGTACCAACCGGTTGACTACCACTGTCAAATCACTGATTCTAGGATCAGTAGGGTTGGTACGACGGAGATCATCTCGCTCGTTTGCTAATCCCGCTGCCTCTGCTGGGAAGTTTGATCTTATCTCGGGTATTCGACCAGCAGCTGCAGCCAAGAGAAATGACGGGTTGCCAAGACACGTCATTTATCAGACCGGGTGACACTATGGTTAAGTCTGGCGAACTGTGACACACTCCTCTTATTCGGGTGGGGGCATCCTCGTTAACCGTGCAGAATGTGGAGCAGTCAATCTGCTCTGCCAGCGCTGATCCCCTCTGGTCATTACCTAGGACGGAATGCCACAACTCAGGGTGGGCATTAAAATCACCTAGTACCAGGCGGTTATTGCCTACCAATAATGGGCTAATATCAGGCAAATAACGCGGTTCACAGCTATTAATCGGCGAGATATACACATTAAGCACCTCTACCTCGGCAGTTCCACACTTGACTGCTACCCCCATACATGGAATGTATGGGGGTAGCACTAGAGACTAGCTCAAGCGAGATAGGTCTGTACTGAACAGAATGGTGTAACAGGAACGCTAATCCCCCACCTCCACTTCTGGTGCGATCCTTCCTTAGTACGTTGTAACCATAACAACGTTGTAGGCTGCAATTTTCATTCAGATTGGTTTACTGCACCGCTGCGATCTTAATATTCCTCCGACTCATAAATTCCACTATCTCATCTATTTTGCCTCGAAGTCCGTTGCAATTGAATTGCAAGAATGATGCACAATCCGGAGTTGGAACAGCAACATGTGGCGTTAGGTGCTGCGGTGTTGGTTGCTGTTCTGGAGACTGCGGTGGAGTGCCATACTCCGACGACGTCTCTGATGCGGACGACGAAGAAGTGGACTCGCTGGGGACTACGTTACTGCAGCAAGTCGCAACATAATCCCTTTCGCTGTAGTCTCGCAAACGCCTTAGTCCGGAACAATTCTTGAAGTGCACCAATTCTCTGCATCCATTACATCGCACCGAAACAGATCTGTGGTGGATCACGTTCTGACAAACCGCGCAGAACCAAGGTCCGGGATTTTCCTGAATCCCGGCACGGACCAATTAAATCCGGAGCAAGCATTCCGGGATATGCTGCTCCCAATGCAGAAAAATAAACAAACACAAACATGTACAAACTGGGTTGGCAGCCGCTGGCCGAAACTGGGATCTTGTTGTTTCGGGTCAATCCGGTATCGTAGAACCCGCTGCCGTGGGATTGTACGTTTGCGGTGATCTCAGTCGTTGATGAGACTTCAACCATAGACAAATGAAAATATAGACAACGAAAAGTTAGTTTTGTCTTTTTATCCAGATGGCGCTCATCATGTTTTGCATAGTCAACATGCTTATTTGCGCGTTCAAGCCACTCGACTTCGAAAACACATTTTATCGGTTTTCAAGAATTTTACTTGATTATTCCTGAATTTTTCGATGTCATCACGTACTTTTCACATTTCTTTTATTATGAGACAATTATCAACTGACAAATATCCTACAGTTTTTGTTATTTTTAACATTTTACAATTGAGTGACTTCAAAATTCCCACTCAAACCCCTGAAACGACATATACGACATCTGCTGACCCGATTTTTTTCGAAGATGAACGGTGAGAGCATTTCGTTGTCTATATTTTCATTTGTCTATGCTTCAACGAATATACGTGTGGGATGCACGCATTGTTACTCCGCTAACATTTATAAAAAAATAATAGGTAGCTTTTGTTGAAAAAATATAAATATATTAAGCTAATATTTAATGTTTTTTAATAATTTTGCTAACATAAAGTATGTTTCTTGTAAGAAAACGACCACAAGAAAGAAGAGAGATATTTTTTACGTGCTTTTTAGTTTCTCTCACACACACAAGCGCAATTTACATTTTGTGCATTTATAAAACAAACCAACACGAACCATAGACAAATGAAAATATAGACAACGAAATGCTCTCACCGTTCATCTTCGAAAAAAATCGGGTTCTTTTGTCTATGCACGAACCATAGACAAATGAAAATATAGACAACGAAATGCTCTCACCGTTCATCTTCGAAAAAAATCGGGTCAGCAGATGTCGTATATGTCGTTTCAGGGGTTTGAGTGGGAATTTTGAAGTCACTCAATTGTAAAATGTTAAAAATAACAAAAACTGTAGGATATTTGTCAGTTGATAATTGTCTCATAATAAAAGAAATGTGAAAAGTACGTGATGACATCGAAAAATTCAGGAATAATCAAGTAAAATTCTTGAAAACCGATAAAATGTGTTTTCGAAGTCGAGTGGCTTGAACGCGCAAATAAGCATGTTGACTATGCAAAACATGATGAGCGCCATCTGGATAAAAAGACAAAACTAACTTTTCGTTGTCTATATTTTCATTTGTCTATGCACGAACTCGCAATGAGAATAAAAATCAGTCGTCGATGAGACACCGACGAATGAATACGCGTTTGGCTCTATATAGTATAAACTTTAAACTGTGTATAAACTTTAAACTCTATATCTAGTATAAACTTTATACTTTTTCGTGCGAGGCTGCCCATAGCTGCTCTAGAGTCTAGAATTGCATTTTTGTTTGTGTTTTCATTTCTGATTTTTACTCTCTGTTTTCTTATTCAATTTTAACATAAGGCGCATTAATTCTTGAATATTAATAAAAGCATTATTTGTTTGTTGAGTTTAAAACAAAAGCAAAAATAATATTAAAGGCACCAAAGACAACTTGTATCACTTTAAAGGGTCGAAATGAGTTCAAGCTTGGTTCGCAAGCGGCGGATTTCCGGCGGTGGTGTAAATGATTCCCAAACAGCACCTACCAAACGACGATTAACGCAAAACAATTCTGTGAGATGAACAAATCTATTCATAAAAGAACAAGATTAAAGAAATTTATCCAAAATATTCTAGACACAATCTCAAGGAGCCAACACTAGTATAATCCAGGATAAGCGATGTGGAAAGATATTGTTGATGCATCTAACAAACTTTATGTGTCACTCTAATCTAACCGTTGAATTTCATTCTCGAGTAAATTTTTTGGTGGGAAGCAATGGAAGTGGCAAAAGTGCTATACTTGCTGCTTTGGTGTTGGGATTGGGTGGAAGTGCCAGAACGACCAACAGGTCTCGAAGTGCAAAAGGTTTGTTTAAAAAAGATAATCCACCAGTTATTACTTACCACCTCTTCAATCACCAGCTTTTATAAAGAATGGGGAAACCAGCGCAAAAATTGAAATAGTTTTGGCGAATGATGGTGCCCAGCCGTATGAGCCCGACGTATATGGTGACAAAATTATCATAGTAAGAACTATTTCATTATCCTCCGGCTCGTATGTAATAAAGAGTGAATCTGGACAAGTTGTCAGTAAGAAAGTCGATGATTTGCACAGAATTCTTATGTATCATAATGTGCAAGTGGATAATCCGGTGTTTTTACTAAACCAGGACAGCGCTAGAGAATTTTTAAAGGAGTATGTTTCAAATTGATTTCATTTAAAAGTAATTTAATTGGGGTATCGTATATTTCAGATTGGAACCTTCAAAAAATTATCAGCTTTTTCTAAAAGCGACACAAATTGATGTCGTTCATAAAAAACTAACCGATTCCCTTCATTTACACAAAGATCACATGGAAGAATTAAAAAATTATGAAATTGTAAGTACATTCCCCATTGACTACTATAATTTATTAAACAAATATAAACTAGGCAAAAATTAGATATCATGTTTGGGGGTAAAATCCAAACTCAACTCGAAATCTACTACTTAAAGTTTTATTCGAATAGAATAGGTGTGTCTGGTTACTTTTCCTGCAGGAATTGTCCAGCAACTTCTTTCTGAGAGAGTAAGGAAGTTTTATTCTCTTTTGCAAGAAAACTGTGAAAAGTAAACAGACGAAATCCCTGCAAAAACTTGCAAGCAATCAGCTGATTTGTCAAAACAAACCAATTTGTCCCCCATCAAAAGAATTGAAAGAAAGAAAGCACCACCAATTTTATAAGTTTTAGAAATAAAAAAGGAAATTAGCAATAAAATAATAACATGAGCAATAAAAGAAAGATAGATTTGAAGGGTTCCCCGGAAACTTTAAACGTGTTGCTAATGGCGTTTGTCTAAAAATGTTGGAAATAGTCTTTTATTTTCTTATTACATACTAATACTTAAGTTTTTCTCATTTTGTAAAGTTGTTCTCCAAAAATAAATTAGTCTTGCTAATTCCAAAAAAATATTTTCAAATTGAAAGCACAAAAAATGTAAACAAACATTAGAAAACATCTGATTGAATTCCGTTGCAAGTGATTGTAAGAAGAAATTTGTCCAGCAAGAATTTGCAAACTCTCACTGAAAGAACTGTCAAAATTTCTCTCTCCGACCGCTCTCTTTTGCAGAACTTTCGGGTTAACAGACGACTTCCAGTAACAATTTGTTAGAATTGTTACAAATTTTAGGGTAACCAGACACACCTAATATTACATTATTTTAAAGGGATTTTCGTGAATTTTCATTGATTTTAAGTATGCTTTAAATTTAACACATTACAATATGGTTACCGATTTTCTTATTAAGGTAGTTTAACAAAGAGTCCTATTTATATATTCTATCCTTTCAGAGATTAAAAAAAGAAAAGGAAGATATAGCCGAACATGAAAATAAACTGAAGGTATTTAAAGAAATAGGGCATTTTTGTGTTCAATAAGTAGAAAAAAATTTCTATTTAAGGATGTTCTTAAACGCTTGGAAATCGAGCTTGCATGGCGAAAAGTTCAGCAATTTGAGAATCAACTTCAAGAAATAAGCGATAAACTTGCAAAATACGACGAAAAGGAGCGTGAACTTAAAAATCTAATACAGAACAAAGATGAAGTTTACCAAATATTAAGTCAAGAAATCAGGTAAATAATAACTTGCAATTAATTGACGATAATAAATACTTGATTGGAGACTTAATTGATATTATAGAAAAGATGAAGAAGGAATGACATTGAAAAACAGTAATTATGATAAAGTCAACAGGGAGTACAGGGAGTTAAAGAATAAATATGATGAGATAAACAAGCTAACATCCGAATTTAAAAACTCCCTAGACATACTAAAAAAGAAAAAATCTCGGTTGGAGCATCAGATTGAAGAAATTAAGAAATATATCGATGAAAAATCTCAAGGGTAAGTTACATAACATAACCGCTGAAGCGAGTTCATATAAAAGATATGTCTCATAATTTTTTAGCAATCAAGATGATGTAGAAACTTTACGTGCTCAAAACCAAAATGAAACTTTAAAACTTCGTCAGCAATGTGAAAGTCAAGTAATTCCAATGATTGAAAATATTAAGCGCGAACTTAAACGCCATATTGATAGCAAGGCACAAAAAGAACAAATAGTAAATGAAATTAAACGCCGACAAAGGAAGTACTTAGACGAAATACGTAAGTCGCCAAAAAAAATTTGAAACTACGATTTGCCTTAACCTTTGTTCCCATTTCAGGTCTTCGAAGTGGACAGATAGCCAATGTAAAAGCCAGTGCCAAAAACAAGATATTAATATACGGAAAGCATATGCCTGAGCTTTTGACAGATATTCGAAAAGCACATTCACAAGGCCTTTTGTCTAAGTTACCAAGGGGACCTATTGGCAGTTATGTAGATGTGGCCAACAGCCAATACCGAGATGTTATTGAAAACTCCATCGGCCGTGGATTGCTGGGAGCATTTCTAGTAAACAATGCAAAAGATAGGCAAATCTTGGAAAACATTTTTACTAAATATGAAAATTGTCGTCCTATTATAATAACTGTAGCATTTTCCGACAAGGTAAGAAACTTTGGTATTGCAATTTTTCCATCAAAGTTTACCGGCTTGTTTCTTGAAAGGTCTATGATGTTAGTGGTGGGTGTGTAAACCCACCGAAAGACACGCATTTGCTTCTTCACGAAATCAGATGTTCTGATGCAACTGTAATGAACTGCCTTATTGACCGTCTTGGCATTGAATCTATTTTGCTTACAAATAGTAAAGAAATTGCCGAAACAATTACTTCGCATATTGAAAATGTTCCCAAAAATCTATCGAGGGTCTTGGTTCTCAAAGAAGGCAACAGTTGTATGGAATATTATCCTATGCCGAAGTATCGAATGTATTCAAATAAAGTTAGACCAGCCAATTACATACAAATTAATATCGAAGAACGTATTAGGTAAGTCGTTTTTTTTATTTAATTGAAAAATACAAATAATGTTGGTTATAGGCACTTGGAAAATGAAAAACAATCACTAGAGCTAAAGAATAAATCATATGAAACCGATCTGAGTCAAATGATCAATCAAATATCTCAAGTTATTAAGCTTATACAAGAGCAACGGGAACTTTTAATAAAACAACAAAATGCCAGCCAAGAGATTATGGAAAAAATAGCGGAACTGGACAATATAGAATATGCTGATTATAGTAACGAAATTCAGTTGTTGGTAAGAATAAAAAGGATTAGCATAAATAAACTTTTTAATGGCATGTTTGTTTAAAAAAAAGGAAAAAGAAATGGGTGATTATAAAACTCGCCTAGCAGAAATTGAACAAAAAATAAGTGAAACGAGAGGTCAATTATCGGATGTTGACAATGAAAAAATTCAAATTGGAGGGGAGCTGCAATTCAAAGAAATTGAACTTCAGGAAATAAAAAATGACATAGAGGCTTTCAAGGTTTGTTAACTTTCTAACAACATTAACTACATTTATTTTGAAAACATATTAATATAAGAAGCAATCGTTAGTTATAAACAAATGTTCAGTCTACTGTAGATCGAAAGAAAATGAAACTCCGTAGTGTTAACAACAACGATTCTTCATATCGCGTCAAATTGTCGGAGGTGCAAGACGTCATAAATAAATTGAAAGCTGAGCATATGGAAATGTCAAGAAAAGTTGATGCTTGTACAAAATCTGCTGCAGAAAAAGGTGAACGAATTGAAAGCGATCTAAGTGGAAATCAACTCCAAGACGAGATATCAAAAAAGGCAAAAAATAAACATGGTAAGCCAGTGAGTTTTGACCCACAGTCCATGCGACAGCTAATTATGACAAAGAAAGAGGCATTACTGGCCAATGAAGGCAAATATGAGGACATAAAGCACTCCATTTATACGGTAAGTGACTAATAACCGTTTAATTTACACTGGGTTTAAAATATCTACTCTTCACACAGCTAAGACAATCTTTAAGATTCAGTTTCGAATTTTTGAAGAAACTGAGGGAACACATGTCATTGCTTTTACAAATATCGTTTAACGTAATTATCATCCAAATTAGAGCAATGACTTGGAAATTTTAATACGTTTTCTCTTATTATTAGATGATTCTGCGATTGCGCAACTTTGAAGGTTCATTGGATGTTAATCACCAGCAGAAAACATTGAAGCTTTCGGTTAAACCACGCTGTCATAATAAAAATGCAGTTTCCGATACGAAATCTTTGTCTGGAGGAGAACGGTCTTTTACCACTGCAGCTTTTCTCTTATCTTTATGGTCATGTGTTGATCATCCTTTTTATTTTTTGGATGACAACGATGTTTTTACGGTGAGCATAAAGGCATCCGATCTCATATTTTTGTTTCTAAATACAATCGTTTATATTAGGATGAAGTGAACCGAGAGTACATGACACGTCTGCTCATCGATGAAGGACGTAGACGTCCACTTCGACAGTATTCTTTCTTAACGCCTCAAGATATGGCATTGATGTCCGAAGACTTTATAAAGATATTACGGTAAGTATTTTTTTGCATTTGTAAATAAAAACTGCAAGTAATTGAGATTTTCATCTTAACAGATTGGAAGAACCAGAACGCGTTTAATGTATTATTTAAATTTGTTGGTTATTTTATAACAGCAACTGGAATTGCAAACATTTTATTACACTAAATATAATATGCATATGTACCTTTTTATTACTTTTTATACCAAATATTTTGTATTGGTATAATTTTGAATATGTTTTTATGTGTCATTGAAAAGACACGAAGTCCAATAAAATGCTTTTTCATAAATGCCGGGTGTAAATGGGTCAAATTACAATAAATAGTTGCTGTAGCAACTAAAATATGTCAAAGACATGTAATTCGTGGCCTATAACGATAATTCAACAAATACAACAAAGTCAAACGCCATAATTTTTACATTCTTTTTTAAATTTAATTTAATGAAAGCAAAAAATGTCGGAAATAGCATCAAAAGTTAGAATAAGTTTAGATTTGTTCGAATTGGTCACCTTTGGCACGAACTATGGCCTTCAAACGCCAATGGTGCTCTGCGGTATTTTGACCAATTCGCGACAAAGCACTTACTTGAGGTGATCGACACTTTGGTATTTTTAGTGCCAACCTTGCTTTCCAAAATACTCTAGACACAATAGTCCAACGGATTGGTATCGGGATATTTTAATGGCCATTGTGCTCTGGAAATGAAGCGGGGAACCTCATTTTGTAACCATTCTTGGGTGGCGCGTGCTGAGTGCGATTGTGCTTAGTCCTGTTGGAATGTCCAAGATCTGCGGCCAAAATGTTTGCGTGCCCAAGATTTTAATACACCCTCCAAAATATTTTCGCGATAATATTCGGCATTTATTCTGATGCCGACCCATTAGATTAATACGAGCGAAGAGCGACCTTCGGCTGTTATGGCGGCCCACACCATCACCCGGCGATTGATACGCTTGTAAACAATATATATATATATATATATATATATATATATATATATATATATATATATATATAAAGCCGATAATGTTCGGCATTTATTCTGATGCCACCCATTAGATTAATACGAGCGAATATATAAACAATAGTTTGCGGCAAGAAGAATGTCTTTGACGTCAACATCAGGTCCGCATTTGGGACATTATTATCCGTATTCTTATTAATTAGGTGTTGGTAGTATTGTATGCCCGTATTATTATGTTTTCAAAATTTAATCATAATTTCCATGAAAAGATTATTTTATGATCATTCAAATTCATGATGGTGATTGATTTATGCCAAAACGAGTCGACATTGTTTCATCAAAATTCCGTTAAAACGAACAATTTTTCATTAGGATTGTAGCAATCTATTGTCAAAAGAACGTAGAAGCCAAGAATATAATATAAAATTTTCCACGTTGGTGAAAATAAAGAAAAAAATAAATCATTTTGATGTTTCATCTACTATGTGGCACATTGTAAAATTGAAATCTCTTTAGCCTTAAATGTGAACATAGTCAACCTGCCGAGTATGTAATAAAAGCAGACCGGCCGAGCTCTTTCACATTTAAAGAAATAAAAATATTAGTTTTTCTATATTATATGGACAAATAACACAATAACAATGCCGAATCAGTTTGCTTAATTAAAAAAGTAAAAGGAGGCTTTAGTATTAAGTATGAATTAAATAAATAAATATATCGATGTTCCTTTACCAAAACAAAAACGATCTGCCGACCACAGCACCATGACATACCGACATTTGGAAAGCAGTGGCAAAAATCATTATTTTACACAATTTTAAGTTTTCACCAAATTTGAATAAAATCACAACTCTAATTTCGTTACTATCAAATTCTTTTAATGCACAAAAATATCGACTATTTAATAACACCATCATGTACATTATAATGACACCGCCGCCAAGGGATCTGGTTTTGTGCGCTTCGGTAGCGTTGCCGCTCTTAAATACGGATTGTCAATATTGGGATTTTCTAAAATGGCTTTATTTGTTGTTGAGTTGGGCTTTATATCATTTTCTGGCTTTACTTCCTTTTCCGGTTTTTCTGATTTTTTCTCCGGTTCGTCAGTAACGCCACCACTACCGCTACCGCCTCCATTATCATTGCTTCCGCCTTCTTCATCATTTCCGCTTTCATTTTCATCATCGTCTAAGAAATTAAAGAATATGCAAAAAACCGATATTGCTGCAAATCTCATTTAAAATACCTTTGCAATCTTCTGTTCTATTGGCCACCAAATAGTGATATTCCAATTCCTCAAAATCAAACACTTGGTCTGTGGGATTTAAAGCGGCTAGATAAGTTGGAAACGCTGGCTTGCAAGCAATCACTATAAAATAAAAAAGGCCTTAAATTGCGTGTTCTTTTAAAAATTATATTAATATTGCTTACGAGGAAACATATTATCTTCAGTGTCAAAGAGACTGTGAGTCTCCGATGTTTTTGCCAAAAATTTTGTTAGAGCCTTTTCGATGTCTCTTTTTTGAGTAGCTGCTTTTTCTCTAATTGCTTCGTATTCTGTTACGGGTTGTTTGTGGGTCTACAACATGACATGTGAAATTATTTGCAAATCAAATTTTAACAGACCAACACATCTTACCGGTGTTCGGACATAGGCATGAGGATCTGGGAAGAGTGGCAGATACGGTAAAATATGTGGAGGATGCTGGGATTTTGTACCAGCTTGTAATAACGGTAATTGTTTGTTAGATTGCTGTTGTGGCGGCATTGATATGATTTGTCGACCTTCTCGCTTGGCAAATGCCTCAATGCCCTGCAAAGAAACTCCCATATTTACCAGAGCAACAACCACATCACCAACTACTGGGATAGTACGTCCTGATAGTTCACAGTAGCTTCTGGCAGATTGTCCTACTTCAACGAGTACTAAAGGAATAAGGAAAAAGCATAATGTATATTTTTTTAATTATTATTTCAGTAAAGATTTCCCACTCACAACTTTGTAACATCTCCGTCAGTGTTTCCAGGCATTCCTTGTCAGCGCTGTCGAATCCCTTTTCCATAAGAATTTGCGAAACAGCTAGACTTAATATTTTACGTCTAGCATTACCGGTGATCTGAGTACTTTCAGTTTTTTCCATTTTTAAACAAACTTACAAAGTTTATGTTTATAAACAATCTGCAATGGAACTCACAAAAGTAGGTCTCTCCAGATCGAAAACGGGTGGAATTAACGAAGAAAATGAAACACATGCTCTGTTCCAGTATCTGCAGTTTTGCAATTTTCTGCGATATCATAAAGGGAAAATCAGTTATCGTAGTAAAAACTAAAGCTGGCCATAGACGAATGATAAATTCGAGCAATTTGTTGGGTTTGTGGTCGCGTTTTTACGTCTGTGGAGTAGTTTGCGAACAAATTGCAAGTTTTTGAAAATTTTCAAAAACTTGCAATTTGTTGGCAAACAAATCATGCGTGTGTGGGCTGCTGCGCAAATTTTAAGCCATTTTGCCATTTCAGTTGCTCTTCAACCATTGTAACGAAAGGTCGTGTAGTGCACACAAAAAATGGCAAGCAAAGACTTTATGATAGAATTTTTTGATGTGTTAAAAAATGAAAATGCCATTTGGCAAACAAAAAGTGAAAAATATAAAGACAAATTAGAAAAACAAAAATCATGGGAAAAACTCGTAACAAAATGGAAAGAGGTTGACAAAAATACTTCGGTGGACGTAGTAAAAAAAAAATATAATTGCCTACGAACAACGTACAGAAGGGAGCTGCAGAAGATGCGCAAAAGCGAAAGGTCAGGTGCAGGTGCTGAGGATATATCGCTGTGGTATTTTGACCATCTTAATTTTTTGCTCGACCAAGAGACACAGTTGGAAGGCATTTCTACGTTAAATTGTGCTTGTGTAATAGAATATTTATTTCTGTATGTAATTTATTATTTTCAGTCTCTAAATGCATAATATTTTCCATGTCGAAAGATGTATATATAATTAAAAGCGCAGCTGCATCAGCCGCTGCATCGTCGCACATGTTTTTTTAAGTTTCCTATCAACAGAAAAAACCAATTGTTAAATAAAAAATTTTCAGCCACAAAATTCAAACAGAAGCACAAACCGAAGTTCAAACACAAAATGAACATCATCCGCTTCGTAGCATATGCTTACTCTTCAACGTCGGCCGAATTATGATTTGTTCGAGCGTGTGTGGAGAAACGATATGCAATAAATCGCAGCAATAAATTTGCAAATCACACCAACAAATCGTTCGTCTATGGCCAGCTTAAGGCTGAAAATACATAAAGCGCATATTTGGCTGGCTTAAGTCATCGGCTGGCTTCTTCGTAGATGAACAAAGGAGTTTTAGGTTGACCTAGTTCGATTTTGGCCCTAGGCTCCTTTGTTCATTTCCGAAGAAGCCAGCCGATGACTTAAGCCAGCCAAATAAGCGCTTTATGTATTCCCAGCTTAACATTCTTGCAGCTCTGGAACAGACCAATATTTAATCCTTTTTCCTTGTTGCTGTTAATCCCTTTTTGTAGACTAGAAGAAGTGGAAATATATATTTCCTTCCCCTTTCTACACAAAGAATTGTTGTTGGGAATGACAATGAAGGAGTGAAAAATATATATCCTCCTCCTTCCTTGGGTTTTGGTCGTTTGAAAATTTCACTGAACCGTCTTCTTAGTTCTAGGCTTACAAAAATAGCCATTTTGAGTTATTATATGAAGCTGAGAAAGATATAATTTAAAAATCAACCCAATAAACATGGAAGAATTATGTTTGCCTTAGTGGACGTGGCAGAGGAAAATCTTTTGGCTTAATTCATGGCTCAATAAGAAAGGTTGCTCAACTTATAATAAACTAGAAAAATGTAACTCTGTAATGCTAGGAACACAATTGGAGCGAACGACGTATTTTTTCGCGGCGTATGTTCGTCGTCAAAAATAAAACACATATGTGTATATGGAAGTGCACACAATCACGGCACCGGCGAAAATTTCGTCGGTCGCCGCGAACTCAATTAGCTTTATTTCTATTTCATACGCCGGCGACCGGCGAACAAAACAGTACAAGGTGGCCATACTTGTACGAATTTTATGTGTTTTAGTAAATAAAGTTACTTTTTACTTTAAAATTTGTTATGGTCACTCTACTATCTGTTACTCGTATAAAAAACACATAATTAATTTGTTTATTTATTTGTGTACTTGCGCATGAGTGAAGATGGATATCAGTGAATTTATAATAGAGAAGATGGACATAAGTGAAATTATAATAGAGAACGGAAAGAATTATGTGTTCTTGTATAATTCATTGTAGTCAACAAATGAGCAAAAAGTAAACAACTTCATCAGCTGTTTTATAATTTCGTCGGTATTGTGTTCCATACGACGAATTTTCGCGGCTCATTTTGTCGCCGCGTAGGGCGAAATTCGTCGTTCGCTCCAATTGTGTTCCTAGCATAATGGAGTCTTATGCAAGCCACACACTTTACAACTGGTTGTACAACTGGAAGAGGTTGTATTCAAGATTGTATCGTTTGTGGCCCGGTTGTACGAAGTTGTTTCTCGGTTGTATGAAAAATCAAATTTTTTTGATATTTTGCATGTTGTACCAACCGATTGTAATGTTTGTGGGCATGTCGCATACAATTTCATTTTGTTTTTATTTTTGAAGAGGCAACACCATTGTTTCGCACATCGAAACAATACGAAATCCAATCAAATGTGTGATTTTAATGTATATATAAAAAGGAATTTCAATTTATAAAATTGAATTTCAAAAATTAATTATAAATAAAAGCTATTGAGTCAATTATAGAACATGAATTTTTTTCCGGTGTCATCTTAACTCAAATAAGCTCTGCGAAAAGTGAAGTTGTACACTAAGTTGTACCGTTTGTGACAAAAACACATAATTTGAGTACTCTCCAAGTTGTACAACCAGTTGTATCGTTTGTGGCTTGCATTATAGTGTCAAATAGACTTTTTAATATGCAACAGTAGGCTTTGTTTAATTTTAATTTTTTTTTTTACAAAATTCTTATATTAAGGAAAACCCGCCAAACAAGAATGGAATTTTGGGGTTATTGTACAGAGTTGAATCTAAATTGTAGGATAATACAGTTTTATCACCAAAAGAAAAAAATTATATTTAGGGGGTAGCTTTTTTCTACATTCAGTTATTTTGCCATGGCTTAACTCTAGTAAAAATTCTTCAAGATTTTTGCATCCTTTCTTTTTTTATTTCGCGTAGCCGGCGTTGGACTTACTAAAGTATCATATTTAGAAAACTTTGGTTCGTGTTAACCATTGTGGACATACCCAGAGGAGAACATCTCAAGCCTACTTGCAAAAAATATCAAATTTAGAAAACTTTGGCTCGCGTTAGCCGGTATCAAATTTGATATGACGTTTTGTGAATTAATTCCATTTCTCGATATACAATAGGTACACACTTTTTCTACCATCCACCTTGAAAAGGAGGTTATATTCATGGTACAATGATATCAAGGTAGGGCAATGATACCATATGATTTCAATTTTTTTATTTTCTTGGCTTAATATGTCATCTTTATTTGTTTATGTATGTGTTTTCTTTTCAATAACAAAAAAATTGTTCAGAAAACATTCAAATTCGGATGTTTTCAAAATGTTTATTTCATCGTATGCATCGACAAAATCTAGAGTTTTTGTAGCGAAATAATCCTTTAGAGATATATAGAACCTGGTTTTGAAAAGAAGTGTTGATCTTTCATTCAGTTATCGCGGTTTTCATTTATTTATTCAAAATAAATGCAACAAGTTGTTTGATTTTTTATTGTTTTGATACTAATTCTGACATTACAAGCCAAACAGGTAGACCTCTATACTTGCAATTTTTTCAAAGTTGACCTACCTTCTCTTCATTGTACCATGGTTATATTAACCTCGTCATTCCATTTGTAACATACCTAAATGTTCCTCGTAGACCCCATATAGTAAATCCGTCTGTCTGTCTGTTGAAATCATTATACAGGCCACATTATTTGACGTAGAGCGTAACGTAGTATATTTAGGTCCACGTTTTGGTATAGCTCCTCCTGATATTCAGTATTTTGATAATTTTTGCCACATTTTTTCACGGATTTGTATAAAAATTGGTATTTGCCATAATGGGTTCTAGCTCCGGTGGTGAAACATTGTATGCATAGTTGCACGTTTATATATAGGTCCCAAATAACGGTACCTCCCGATATTCAGTATTTTAATTATTTTTGCCACATTTTTTACGAATTTGTCTAAAAAATGGCGCATTGTATGAATAGGTACACGTTTATGTACCTTCCAATATTCAGTATTTTGATAATTTTTGCCACACATTTCCACAGATTCTAGCTCCAGTGGCGGAACAAAGTAAGTATAATTCCACTTTTTCGAATAGCCACCACATAATAGTACCTCCGAATATTCAGAATTTTGCCACACATTTCCACGGATTTGTCTAAAAATTGGTATTTGTAGTCTATGGCTCTGGCAGCAGAACATTGGATATTTAGGTCCACGTTTTCCTATACCGCACATAAAACGATACCGATATTCCCGTTTTGGTATGGTCCCTTCATGGTTTTTAGAAAGTTTAACAGCATTCTCCAAACGATCTTGCTGGTATTTGTAGATTGAAGTGGGACACGTTAGAATCCAGATACTATATCCAAAAGTGGAGGGTATTAAAAGTTCGGCCCGGCGAACTTAATGTTATGAGATAAAATTTCACTGCAGGGCAATGTGAACGTATTTTTTGTCTAATAACAGAAAAATTCGAAACGCCAATGGCGATGGTGCGGAAACTTTTTTCGTGACACTATATTAGATAAATTGCGCAATCTAGAGTACTTTATGTATGCAGTTTGCTCCAATTTGAGAGGGATCTTGCTTTTTCCACGATTTTCCAGCGATTGCTTGAAGTGTTGAGAGATTTAGACATACAGCATTTTTAATTTAAAAATCTAAATTCCAAAAATGTACAATTTTAAAATAAATTTAATTTATTGAAAATTACTTGTTCTTTTTACTTGTATTACATACAAAAACAAATTTGTATGTGGTTGATATTTAAAACGATTCGGGAGTTACCTCTAAATTATCGATTTTTTGGACTAAACTAGAGTTAAACCCTAAAGGATCTGTTAGGACGCGTAAGA